AATGTACTAAATTCATAAATAAAAATATAGATAATAAATATGTGATATAATAATGTTCTTTCCATTCTAAAATTTATTATAATATACTATTATAGTTTATTATAGTATATTATAGTTAATTATTTATTATAGTATGAAAAGAAGAGTTTAAGTCTCTCTTTAGTTCTAGAACTGTTTGTGCTAGATTCCTGAAATTTAGTCAGTGATGCTGATCTTATATAGTATATATATATATAGTGCCAGTTCCTATCTGTAGTGCCAGTTCCAATCTATAGTACCAGTTCTGATCTAGCTAGATATCCAACCAGATTATGACAGATTATGTAAGCTGCAAGTTAGAACCCGTGCGAATTTCCCAAAGACGAGAGACACGGGAGCGCGTAATGGAACTAACAAAAAAGGAGACGCTGATGAATTCCAAAAGAGGATGAGCGATCATGATTTTCTTTTAACTTCACGATGACGAACTCATTTATTTTGTGTTGTTCCTGTGTTTGTTTATCGTCCATCTTTATGTAAATTTAGCGTTTAATATATGTTTTGTTAAAGTACAGTGCCTCTTATTTTCAAAGACGACCACTCATGCCGTCCCCACATAATCAGAAGTGGTTTCAAGAACAAATTGATGGTGAAGAAATTAGATTGAGAAAAAATTGCTAGTAAAAAGAAAATTATTGGCGAAGAAAATTGGATGCCGAATGGTTTCATTCTTGTGAGAGTTAGTAACGGAATGGCGTTGTGATGAAACTTTCATTTTTTTTATTTCATCTCTGCAACTACAATTGGGGTACGTATCGTACATTTGTGACATCTACATTTATTATTAGACTTTTATTCATTAATCAAAAATGATTCTTAACGATATTAAGCAAGTAAGCAAAGCATTGAAAAATTTTAANTGCTAAGCATCTTTGTACACATGTCAAGCAACTAATTTAAAAACCTCCATTAAGCGAACTTTATTGCAACATTTTTAAGATTGAAGTGGCCTTTTTCTTACATATAGGTCATGATCTAGCCGTCTTTCAAAGACCGGTAGAAGCCATTCAACTCCTTCTTATCTTCAAAAATGGTTGCCAGGGTGATTAATATTAAATTAAACTTTGACAGGCCACTGAAAAAGTTAGGTCGGCCATAATTTAATTGTCTCAGTCGTCATAGAAACGATTTTAGAGCTACGTTGGATATATTTTTGTTGTTCAATTTGTCTTTGAAAGATAAATCGAATCATTGTCTTTGTCTTTAGATTAAAGGAAACAAAACCTTTCATGAAAGAATTTTTATTTTATTTTTTTAATTTTAACGCATCAAGAATAATTGTGAAGTTAGTTCTTTTTAATTAAAGTTCTTAATTTAATCAGTTGTTAGAGATATGGTTATTTGTTAAAAGTTAATATGGTTGTTAAAAGTTAATTTGTGTTCTGTTTATTAGATTTCTTTTTCAAAAAGAAATAAAATAAGACTCATTAAATTTGTTTCTTTAAGATAATTTGTAAAATGTAGTGGGTAAACAATTTAGAACTTAGTTTTCTCTATAAAATCTTTTAGAACCTAAAGCATATTATAACCAAAAACTTCAAATAATATAATGATAAATTTTTTTCACTACGTTTTAAAAGACATGATTTTTTTTATAAAACGCGATGAAAAAATTTTAAGCCAGTTTCGTTAAAAAGCAAACTGCTTAGCCCGAAGAAAACATAACATGACATAAACAATTACATAAAATATACATATTACATAAAATATAGATTACAAAAACAATTACATAAAATATAGATTGCAAATTTTATTAGAGTTAAAAATTTTCAAAATTATAATATTAAAGAAAAAAAATCAGTAATGCATCAATCTCTTTTTTAACGAAATGTTTCTTCTATCATCTTAAGTATGTTAACCAATATAAAGTAAAGTAGCCACCAATTAGCCACCAGAAATAAAACTGAATATCTACATAAAATGGAGGACAATAATGGAGGCTTTGGCATTAAAAGCCACAGAGCGTTTATAACGTCTTTTTGCAAATCGTGTCCTTAACGAAAAATTGATTTTCCTACGTTTTCATTTGAAGAGTTGTGTATATGAGGTGAAAGTTTGATGCTAACTTCCTAAAATATGAAACACTATCTTTAGCTAAATATGGCAGTTTCTAAATGTAGAAATATGGTAAGTATGGAAATATGGTATGGATATATAGTTATCTTTGAGTTACTTTACATGGCTTTATGTTTGCTGTCATCTGTGCTAATGAATGAATATGAATGAGATGCGTGATTGAGAGTGTCGTGTTTTAATAGCCAAGGATTGCAAATTGAGGAGTGTAAGACACTGAAAATTCTTAAAATGCTAAAGGGAATGCAAGAAATATTGTTATGTCAAGGCTGGGACACGAACCCCCATTCTATTGCAATGAGATTGACAAATTAGCCCTCGCGCTGTAATATGTACCCAGCTGCAAGGATTTTCATTCAGTGGGCCTAGTTGGCACGATAACATTCTAGTCGTTTAACCGTATTAAGGGTTTTTTCGCACAGTTAATAGTTTAAATACCGTCTTGTTTATGGCTATTTGACTGTGTTATTTGAATATGGTAACATAACATTTATATAAATTGTTGTTTCATATTTTTCCCTGCAATTTCTAACAGTGTAAACACGGAACTTTTCTTTATCATAAATCCAATTTTAATATATAAGATCGAAAATTCGAGCAAATCCTGATATCAACAGATTCATTCAACGTGCTCAAATTCTAAAGCAGCTTCCTTTATTAGTCACTACTTATAAATGTACCATTTTTGTCTACTTATAAATGTGTCCTTTCTGTCTGTTCTTGCAAAATAATAAAATGATGTGTATGAATGGGTAATTTCAGGCAACTATATATGCAACAGCACAATCCTGGACACGTCTGTCTTGGAGAGGAAAAAAGTGATATATAGTCACATTTATCTTGAAAATGTTTGTGTCTTGAATGTCTGCGTGATGCAACAAAAAAAAACAGTTCGTTTAATTTCAGTCTTAAATATGCTTTTCAAGTAATTTGAACATTACTACATCTTATGATTTACTTGTGATTTACTTGCAAATTGTGATTGCACGAATTGTATTTTCTGCAGAAACTAATATACGTTGTTAGCTATTACTGCGAATGATATGGAATACATTTAGAAATTCAAACTTAGAATGTATTTAGAAACTCACCGAAGGATATTAACCGATTTTAAAATTTTCTTCTCTTTACATAAGGCGTATTTTCCGCACAGTAGTGTTTTCAACTCAAAATAAAAACATTAGGTTTTCCACTCCTCCCTACTAAATATTCGTTATTTTCTCGTTACTTTCTTTCAAGGTCTGCATAAAATAAAATTTGCAATGGTTTCCTAGCTCTTAGCACACAATTGCCTCTTAGTAAAACTTTTTTTTACTTCGTATAGCGTCTTTTCCAGAAATAAATGATGTGACTGAAAGAAAACCACGTTAATAAATAAACTACACAGTAAAAAATCAAGGATAAATTACGGTAGAAAGTACTATGTCCCTGACAACATCCATTTCACCATAAAATCCATTTTAATCGTAAAATTACTTTTACAGTGATATTTTTATTCGGTATATATTACTGTAAAAATTAAGATATATCAGATCTTTTTGTTCCATAAAACTGGATTTTTCAGTAAAAAAAATAACAGCACTCAGGGAGTCAGTACCTTTTACCCTACTTTTAAGTAGGATATTTACAGTGCATGAAATAAAGCGTTACGTAGATTTTAAAATGTGAAATATTAAAAAAAAGCTAATGCATTTTTTTTAAATGTAATTATATTATTGTAAAAAAATTGTTTTGAATGCTCCTCACACTATTGTATTAATATATTTTGCTTTTGCTATATTGATACAATATCAGAAAGCACTCTTTTTTGCGGATATAATCGTGTGGGCTGATGAAATGATTATATCTTTTATTTTCCGGTTTTTTTAAAAAAAATTCATCCCTTTTTTTTAAAATCAGTTGTTTGTTATTTTTTTCATTATTATTCCCCCCCCCCCTTTTGTCTATAATTTTCCTCTGTTTTATCTTCATTTTGATCTAAACAGCTCTGAAGTTACAAAATAATCTTTTGTGTATTTTGAGGAATATATATATATATATATATATAAACCATTAAGAGGAGGGCGGCTACAATTAAGTGGATTAATCATAGTTGGAAAGATAACGTTTAGACATTTTGTAGATTACCAATTATTCTTTTGGTACATAAATGGGGATAATTCCTCATTCTTTGCAACAAATGCTTATGTTCAGGTATTTTTCGGCTCTTCTACTTCCATAAATATCTTAACATCCAAAACAATCTCTTTTCCTTACTTCAAATCTGATACTTAGACATAAATTATCAAAAAAGAGATAAATATGGAGGTAGTGTTATCCCAGCTATAGGTAGGTGGAGATGAAAAAAGAGGGTCATATTCTGACTGCAGAATTCAATTTTATTTGAAAATTAGTTGAAATTATGCTAATTTTTTTTAAAATTTTCTTTCTGTACAGAGTAGAATAGTTATATTAATCCATGGTAAAAACACTCTTTAGTTCTTGTATTTCAAAATCAACCAGCTGTTGCTGCGATAAATTTAAAATCAAAGCAAATATAAATGGTTTTAGACAATATAATGATTAACCACATTTTCAAATCGTTCCAGAAAACAATTTTGTTGAAAGATGCCGCAATTTTAATGAAGGTGATGCAAAATTTCTGTGCGATTTCTAGTTACGATGCATAAATTCTTGAAAAATACTTATTTGGAAACAATACTAAGGATTAACTTGATTTTAAAATGCCTGCTTTGGAAAACATGTGGCTTATTGCCATATTATCTTAAGCTCATTAGAGACAAGAAACATCATGAAAGTCAGACTCAAACACTTCCTCAAATGAAATAAATGATAGGAGATCAAAATAAATGAAAATAAATATGGTTTTGAAATAATAAAAGACTATACTCGTTCAAATATTAAAAGTTTATTCATATTTAATAAGGTATTATTTAATAGTCTTGCTTTCAGAAAATTCCATCGCCTGTTACAAAACCATTTCTTATTGAACTCTGATCTAAAAAAAAGAAGAATGTAATGGAATAAGTAAGTAATGGGATAAGTAAGAAATATTAATTGCGTTTTCATGAGTTTTCTAACAGTTTTTAATAAATATATTTATCATTTCAATTTAAAACAAAAATATAACTTATTCGTGCAATTAAACTTTATAAAATTTAAAATATTGGTGTTTTATGCAAAAAACAATTTATTTATTTTTAATTTTTTTTATATATAAAATATTATTTTAGAATAATAACAAGTATTGTACGCAATGCAATTGCTGCATCAATTTAAATTTGAGTTTAGAGGAAACTGAAATTAAATTCAAAATACTTTTTCATTTAAGTTATTTAATAAGTAAAGGTTTCCTATTATTTTATCAGCGTCTCTTTTTCTGTTATCTTCTATTACTTTAAAATAAAAAGTTTTAAGCAAAAAAAAACAAAACAAGAACAAAACTTTAACTAAAAGATTTGTAAGCTTTTCTTTACTTTAAAGGAAAATAAGCAATTAATTTCTTTATTATTTTTAAAAAAATTTCTACAACGCTATAATAAAAATTGTTTTTTAAATTAACTTTATTATAGAAAAAAACGTTAGCCTTTTAAAATATTGCAAGCGGGAAAAAATAGAAAGAGCACGAAATTTCTGAAAAAAAATCAGAATCTTAAAACATGCATGTGTAAAAATTAACATGAAAGTGCCCCCCACACACCCATTACACACTCATTTTAACATTAGTGTGTAAAACATGAATGTATAAAACCCATTTTAACCTAATACGTATTATGTTTTCTTGTAATTGTTCTTAAAATTTAGTCACCTTGAATGATATTTAAAAACAAATTTCACTGAATGCACTATTTGTTTAAAGTAATTGAAACATTTTTAATTACAAAGATGTAATTATATGCCCTTATCTAAGTTATTGAATTTATAAAATACACCTTACTTGGTCTATATTCTGTAGCTAGACAATTGCTGTGTTGTCTTGGAGCAGATTTAAAATAGTTATATAAGTCGAATCATTATTTTTTATAGCATTGCACAAACTTCGAAAAAGGAAGATACTTAAAATTTCCGGAATTTATCGAGCTTCATAGTTATAATTTTCTTTCTAAAATTATGGTAAAATAACCAGCAGCAATCTCACCAATACGGTAACAAACATTTTTTTACCTTTTCGATAGTGTAACCGTTTACAACTAGTATGGTTTCAAAACCGTTAAAAAAATTAGCTAGCCATTGGAGAAAGTTTAGCAGCTTTATGGTCCTGTCATCAATGCGTGAATGCGAGTGTCGCATTCTAACATAAGCTCACAAATTTTTTATTGTTAAGATTTAATGTCTCATGTGACCAATAGCGTAAACTAGGAGTGTAGATACATTTTTTGCAATAGGAAGATGAATTTGCTCGATGGAAGGGGAATTTCTGATTTTTTTCTCAAAGGCGTTAATGTCTATCGGTATTAAATCAAAATTTAATTTTTTTCTAGAGGGTAGGAATTCGAGTACGAAATAAAGATCTTTCTTACACGTAAAAGGATTTGTGCATAAAAAGCAAATTTCTACACTTTAATGCGTAGCTAGAAGAGGCTATATTTCTCTTGTGCTAAGCAGAAATAATTCATTATCAGAATAAAACTGCTCTATCATTCAATAGGTGGATTTCCATTATCTCCTGCTTCAAGTTTATTTTTCCCCGTCCTTCTGCTATCTAACAGCTTATAATTAACACGTACATTGTGTAATAAACTTTTGTGAACACGCGATGTAGATAATTTTTGACTAAATGAAAATCGCAAGTAAATAAATTGTTTACTTTTTTAGTTACGACCATGCTTGCTGTGAACGACTCCGTGCTTCCCTCGTCTACCATGAATAGCTAAAATAAGAGAAGGAATAAATATATAGTTAAATTTCAAAACATGAATTATCATGTAATGTAACTTGAATTGTTTCATTGTCATTGAAAAAACGATTATATATCTATCTATCTATCTATCTATATATATATATATATATATATTCATGTTTGTGAAAATAGCAACACCATGAAGGAATCGTCATAATTAAATGAAATTTAATACACAGTTGAGTGGTAATGGTACAAATAAATGAT